TTTTGGTACTGTTCATGAATAAGATACTAAAATATTTTTGCAGTAAGTTTATCTATGCCTTTATTTTGGTACGTTACAGCAAAGACAATACACCCCATAGATTGAAAACTCTCCCACCACTGCCCTCTAGAGCTACAATACCTGAACTATATCTATTTGTAAATTGCAGACATCTGTACAAACGCTATTTGCAAATGTCAATGTCAATCATAATTATTGATGTCGATCATAATTTTTGAATTATTTAATACATTTTTGCGCCTTAAAAGTGATAAAACGTGTTAATGGTTGTGAAATGTATTGTTGTTGGGCGCGGAAATGTAACCAATTTGTAAGTATTGACTATCCTGCCGTCCTAAGCTAAAAAGATTCATATCGTTATTATAAAGTTATTCTCTTAGAAAAAAAGACGCATTTTAACTATACATACATTTTTAAGTACTATAGCCAAAGATAATACACCCCATAATTATCTTTGCGTTAGAGATCTAAAGTGAGCCGCTCTGTTAACTGTGTTGGTTTTCATTATGTTACAGTGCGAATTAAAGTTTAGTTTGCCGTCTATATTAATGCCCAGATATTTGGTTGGATAAGTTTTATTTTGGTGGAATATTATGAGTTGTGATTTGTTGGGGTTAGGTCTGAGTCTCCATTTGTTGAACCAAAGGCATACTTTGTCCGTCAAATTTTGTAGCCGTGCTAAAGCCTCTTGAGTATGAGTATGAGTATGGGAACGTATGGCAGGCCCAAATATATTATCATCCACTAATCTCCCGGGGTTATTTTACCCCCTTTCCGTTCTCCTGCGTATCCCGCCAAATCACAGCATTACCTGTGTTTGTTGGATCCGAAGTTTTTACGCCGGCTGGTTGATCCACCCTAGGAGGTCGTGGATGACAGTGTCAAAGGTTAAGGCCGCTCCACGGATTTTTGTCAGCCGGGTCGGGCCATACGTCCAGTTTAGGAAGGGTTTTTGGAGGACATTGAACTGACCCAAAACTAAGTACAATCCGGAATCCTCCTTAACCAGGGCTTTAGTAATAACCCCATTCATTTGGTATTCCTGAATGGGGGTGGGTGGATTAGTATGCTGCTAGCGCCTTTCCTTGATGGTGTACTTCCTGTTCGTCGCTGTCCGAGTCAGATTTCTGTTCCTGATAGCCGCTTTAGAATTGTTTGCCCCCCTGTGCGATTGAGTCTTATCTTCAGAACCGAAGTGTTGCCGGCCGTACCCCGCCGTAATTAGTGCCCTCTGACTATGTGATAATTCGTTTAACCTACTGGATCGATTCTCGAATTATTTATTTTTTCCCACTGTGCGTGATCCCCATTCACTTGGGGTTGGATCCATCTTTGCGCCTCACTGTGCATTGCGGCTATACGCTTACTTAACGGTTTTTACTTAATTTATGACCCCTTACGACTTGGTAATCTATAGATGTAAACATAAATAAATAAATTTCTTTAGGATGGTTTCTTTTGCCTAATGTTTATCGTAACTTGAGTGATTAATGACTTCTTATGTGCCCTTGTGTTTATAGTTTTTTTTACTGTTTCATTTGCATGAGAATCTTGGAAATTGTTTGCGACTAATTAATTTTACCTGAAAAATTATTGTTAGTTAAAGGTTGCGTATTACGTATTAACTAGTATTAAGATTATTGGGTGGTCATGGTCATGCAATTTGGTAGCTAGTTTATGCAGACTTGGACTTCGGGATATTTGCCAGGCAGATGTGCTAAAGTTGATCCTTATCGCATGCCGCCCGCACGTGTTAGCCCAGGAAATTTTCATTAGTTAAGTAATTTAGGCTTTTCGGATAGGTTAGCCAGTTGGTTGCTTGGTTTCCTCAGTGATAGAAGTCAAAGAGTTAAAATTGGTAATTTTTTGTCCAAGGCGATCAAAGTCAGCTCTGGTGTTCCCCAAGGGGGACATTGCTCTCCCTTATTATTTAACCTATTTGTTAATGACCTCAAAAATCACATTAAGAACTGTGAGTTTCTAATGTTTGCAGATGATCTTAAGTTGTTTCGGATAGTGGGTAGTGATCTGGATGCTAGCTTGGTTCAAAGGGATCTTGATAGTCTCTCAACTTGGTGTGAGCAAAATTTGTTAAATTTAAATATCAATAAGTGTTTTCATATTTCGTTTTGCAAGAAAAAAAGGAGAATTAATACTTTTTATTCCATAAATGGGCAACAATTGTGTAGAAGGGAAGAGGCCATGGATCTAGGAATACTGTTTGACTCTCGTTTAAGTTTCTCCAACCACATACATCAACTAGTTGTGAAAGCTAGCAGAATGTTGGGATTTACATTGAGGAATTGTCAAGGTCTCTCTATAGATGCAGTGAGATCGGTATTTGTAGGGTTGGTTAGATCTCAACTTGAATATTGTTCAGTTATCTGGTCTCCACAATACAATGTGTATAAGGATTTGCTGGAAAGAGTTCAACACAAGTTTTTGAGATACTGTAATTTTAAATTTAACCTTAATATTATTGCTGACCATGATTATTCTGATATATTAGTTCATTTTGATTTATGTTCCTTGGAAAAGAGACGAACTATGTTCGACATCTGTGTTCTTTATAAATTATTAAATGGTATAATATCTAGTCCATTTCTACTCTCTCAAATTAAATTTACTACACCACAAAGAATACTAAGACACAATAATTTATTTTTTATAAGAAATCATAGGACCAATTTTGGTAAACATTTTTTTTTTGAGAGGTCTTTGAATTTTTTAAATAGGGAGGAAATGCTGGATGTATTTAGGGGTTCTTTTCGTTCCTTTAAGAGAGCTTTAATCGAATTAATTTAACTTGTGATCTCTATTTGAATATTATTTGTTAACTTAGTGATATACCTATAATTAGTATTTGTTATTATTATTGTTAACTATTGGATAAATGAATTGTTATTTTTTTTATTATTAATGTTAACTATCTGTTTAAAGAATTTGTTACTTATTTTTAATTTAGTGATTAACTGTAATTGTCTTCTTTTCAAGACACAACCTTTATATGTAATGTTTATACTGTAATGGGGTTTTCCCGTTTAAGCAATAAAATAAAAAAAAAAATAAAAAAAAATTAGAACTGATCGTCTCTCTCACACCTTTTAATCAGGTCAAACACATGAGGACTTAGTCCAGGGGGAGGTACCACACACAATTTGCACTCTTTTGCACTTGGGGCAGTTATCACGTGTAGAATCGATATTGTTTTTTATTATTTTACGGCGTTAACCAGTTCTCACGTGTAGAATCGATATTGACTTTTTGTTATTTTACGGCGCACTTTTCGCAATTGTTGCACTTTTCGCATTTGTTTGTTTATTTATTTATTTATTTATTACCGATTACCGGTATTTCCGCATACTTAGATTCGCTTTGATACTTTACTACGTTTGTATCGTATACGCTGCTTAGGAGATAACTATCTTTGAGCATCCTTACACTTCAAGAGTCAAGACCCAACTGTAGCCTCTTTTTTAGTTTTTCCTACAATCCACACATTTAAATGTTATGTGAGAAATTTTGTATGAAAAATTTATCGACTATCATTTAAATGATTTTTTACAAATTTAAACCAATAATTTTGTAAAATAAAATATTAAAAGTACAAATTTTAAAAACCAATATTTTAAACTTAAACTTTTACATTTGAATTTTATGTTTTAAATATTTTTTGATTCTCCCCCTAGACCGGGAAGTTAGTATTACTCCAAATATTTGGGATTACTGTTTGGTGTTGGGGAGTTGTTAGTTCGCTGCAGGGGCCTAGTTTACTGGTCGTGGTCAACGTCTTGACCGCTATTGTCTCTGTCCGTGTCGAGTTGTTCCAGCACTTGTTATTGTATTGTTTCAGCTGTTTTCTTTCGCGTTGCAATCCTATCTTTGTATTAAACAGTTGGTGTGCAATTGATACGATTTAACAGTTACCGGTGGGAGGTATTTTTGACTTCCACTGTATACTAATGTAATTACCAATTCCATTAGAATTCGGTTTGTGTGTTTATTTTTTCTTAATTTAATGTTCGTTTGAATTTGAAGTGTTTATTTAATATAGTTTAATATATTGTCTTAATGTTACTGGTGCACTTTCTTTATTTTATTTTTTTGTTATTTTTTGGTTAGTTTATGTTTAAGCGAAAAGTGCCTCATTTAGGGTTTTTAAAGGTACCTCTGTCATGGTCTCAGATAATATTAGGTCATGCAGAGTTTAAGGTTATTACCTAAGTATACTTATCGAGAATTGCAAATTGGCCTTTCCTCCCTTGGTTATCCTCTTTTGTTTGTCTCGTGAAAAGCATCCAAATGCATGGCTAAACCGCGGTTGCCACACTACAGACTATTTGCACTTTATAGCAATCATTGCGAGCTTTGCTGTTTGTATTTTCAAGAGCGCGACACAGCCAGATGCGTCTTGGACGAGTACTCGAACGTTACTGTGGAATGTAACTTTTTAAACTATTTTGGTAAAAAATGTTTTATACGTGTTTTTTATTTTAATTGTCTAGACACTATTTTTAAATAGGTACTAAAAAAATTAACTTTAATCTAAATAATTTTATAAAATATAAGTAAATTTAAGATTTAAAAAATTCTGCCAAATAAATTATACTTAAGAAATTATTTTTATTAAAAATTGATAAAAAAATTTTCAAAAATTAATTGGAAATAATATTGTTTAATACAGAAGTTAGTTAGTAAATTTTGTCTTTCAATACATGATTGTTGAAAATATTTTAAATATATAAATGTAAACCTAAAATTGGTTATGTAGGACAATTTTAAACCAATAAAATTTTAAATTAAAAAATTATTTAATAAATGTTTAAACGGCGTGCCAAATAAAACGTTTGAAAGTTTTTAAATTTGTCATAAAATGTATCTAAAATGTCCTTAAATGCTACTAAGATTTGTCCTAAAATCCTAAAAATAGCACTTAAAAATTCTCGGTTTTTTGAATTCTCATTTGTTTTCATTTTAAGAGTCGCCAGGCTTTGGCCCAACAGCTGACAGTGAGCAGAGACCTGACGCAAAAACTGAAAAAAACCGGCGACGATTCCTCGGAAGACGAGGGCATCGAATCGGGGGAAAGTCTTCCGGCAACGACAGGAAGCGACAACCCGTGGGTGAACGGAATGAAACCGGAAGCGGAAGTCGTGAATTTCGTCAGCGGGTACCGGAAGTACTGGGACCAGCGGAACAAGAAACTGGAAGAGGAGAACGGAGATGCCGATGATGAAAAGTTCGAAGAAGATACCGATGAGATGATCAAGGAGTTCAAGAAAGTTATGGAGAAGAGTAAAGTTAATAAAAAGAAGAAAAGCAAGAAACTAGAACAGAAAATTGAAAGTGTCGACGATGACGAAAATACCATGAAAAATCCAGTTAATAAAAAAAAGAAAAGCCAAAAAACTGATGTTAATAAAAGCTTAAATAACTCTACCAGTACTTCAGAATGGGAGGTAAGTTTAATAGAAAAAGATGATAATAATGAAGATACAGAAACTATAGAAGATATATTTTACAAACTAGAAGATAAAATGACGTGCAAAATGCAAAACAAGTTGAAAAAACTACAGAAAAACAAGAGAGAGAAAAAGAGCACTACAAAAATCGTCGAAAAAAAGAAGATAGATCTTACAATGAAATCAAAATCAAAAAAACACATAATAGATGAACCCCTGAACGAAAATTCCAATAGGGAAGAAAATTCTACATCTGAAATAAAGGAATTAAAGGCAATATTAGACAGTGTCAACACAAAAGAATCAAAAAATATAGACCCTGATAAGTTTATTCACGCAAAAACAACGAATTTAGACACGGCCATTCCAAACTTACTCACAAATGAAGATGAGGAGAATACTATCAATCAAAGAGACATAATTATGGAAGCATTTGAAGATGACGATATTGTGGAAGATTTTAACAAGGAAAAAATCGAAGAAATCGAAAAAGACAAACCTAAAGATGTGGATTTATCGCTCCCAGGTTGGGGTAACTGGGGGGGCACAGGTATAGTACCAAGCAAAAGAAAGAAGAAGAGGTTCATTATAAAAGCACCAGCAAAAATGCCCCGAAGAGATGACAACAAAGGCTCCCTTATAATCAACGAAAACACTAATACTAAAGTTAAAGAACACTTGGTTGCTGATGTCCCCTTTCCATTTAGTACTGTCAAGGATTTTGAGGCAAGTATCAGAGCCCCAATCAGCAATTCTTTCGTCCCCGAGACAGCTTTCAAGAGGTACATTGAACCTGCCGTTAAAACCAAAATGGGCACCATTATTGAACCTGTTACCAAAACTTTATTGATGGGGGTTCCTAAAAGAAAGTTTTAAAGGTTTTTTATGTAAGAGTTATAAAATAATAAAATTGTTTAAGATGGATTTGTTTTTGATTTATTTCCACGCTTTATATCAGAAATAAAATGCATAAAATAGTACTTATTTTACATTCTATAGATGGTGTCCACAGAACAAACCAATGAGAGCGCTGTATTATCAATTTATAATCGGGGTTGCCTGCCTAGGCAGTGCCTTCATTCTAAAATACGGCGTTTTCAACAAGCACAACAGAAAAATTTTAATTTGTATTTTGGGCGTTTTTCCACCCAAGCCTTAACATTCGGCACGGCCAAAACGTTCTCCTTAACCTTTTGCAGGTTGTGGTAATCTGCCAACAAGTCAATTTGGGTCATTCCGTTCATGTAGTCCAAAAGACTTACGAAGAAGAGGTCGGCCCAAGTGAGACAGTTGATGGCCAAAAATCCCCCATTGGTTTTGGCTGCATCGTCCAGTTTGATCAGGTGAGGGATTTGTTCTTTGAATAAGGGCACTTTAAGGCTCTCTTTAATGGCTGGGTCTGTCTCGTAGTGGTATCTGCCAATTTTAGCATGAAAATCATATACTGCAGTATACATATATCAACTGTGCTGTCAATTATCAAGTCTTCCCAGTCATCTTTACCAACGAGCCCAACTATCATGGCCAAAAATCTTGAAATAGCCACGCTTTGATGAGCCACTTTACCTTCATGCTCCAAAATTGGCATTTGCTCGTAAGGCATTTTTGGTTTTAATTCCTCCCAATGTTGACTGGGTACGCCGGGTTTGATGTACTCCACACGAAAATCTTCCCAGTCCAAATTGCCATAACTGCAAAGGAACCTCAAAGGTTCTCCCAAAGCGGTCAGGTCGAAATACGTCACTTTGTATGCCATTTTTGTAACACTGCGAAAGTTAGTTGATAACTGCAGGTTTGCACATTTTTTTAAAATTGCCTTAAAAGCAATTTGGGAAATTGTTTTAGTCGACATCACGGACCAAAACCGCGCTAAATTTTAAAGCACGAATTGACCTATATACGCATTTAAACCGTAGACCACTGATGTGAATTATATTTAATTCCCTGCTGAAAAAGACGGGTAATATCGGATGATTGCGGATAAAAACCAAGCTAGTTTGATGTCCATTTATATCTGTTTTCATCCGACATATCTGATTTTACCCGGCATGTCGGGTTTTATCTGCAATTGCGGGTATAAATATTATCCGCGAACGTCGTGATATACTTTCATCCGCGAACATTTATTTTAATCCACAAACATCTGATTTCATCCGCAAACATCTACTTTATTCCGCAAAAGTCTGCTTCATCCGATTTCACCTGCAAACATCTGCTTATATCCGCAAAGATCTGCTTTTATCTTTGAACATCTGCTTTAATTCACAAACATCTGTTTTAATCCGCAAACATCTAATTTAGTCCGCAAAGAAGAAGAAGAGAGAGAGGGGGAGACCCCTAAAGTAAGAATTGCCACGATGCTGTCATCCGCGTAAAGGAACACGAGTGACAACAACAACAAATCTTACAACCCCAAGCCCATGTCATACCTCTCTCTCATCTTCCCAATCCACAAACTTTATTGATACAATTTACATTAAAAGCATATACAACCTTTATATGACGAATATACTCCAAAATAATTCGAAAATAATATTATTATTAAATTTGAAAATGGATCGGTAATGATTTAAGAAGAATATCCATGAGCTGAGATAATAGTAATAATAAAAAAAATAATAAGGGCCCCTCTCAAACTTACACCAATGGTGTCCAAGGTACCAATAACCCTTGGATTGGTAAAAATATTTTTTAATGTATATACAATGTTGTATTTATAGATAGAAAAATATATTAAAAAAAAATTGTTAATTTAGTAATAATTAAAAATAAATGAAATTGATGAATTGTACAGTTGTACAGGTAAAGATAAAATAATAGAGAATTTCGGCATATATAAGCCTAACAAGTATCTTAATTCAAAGTATATAATTAAATAATCACACTGATTAAGAGTAAATATATATATTCAAATATCAACAGACAATGAAACATAAAATGAATAATAATTGTAATCGCCATCCAAAAAATGTCTATTTCTGTCTTTTTCAAAGACCTTATTTGTATTTTACCAAATAATATTGAAGTTCAATAAACTTATTTCCTTTACAGGTTGTTTTTATTCAAATAACTCCTTTTAGAGTTATAAAGTTGTGTGCCGTGAACGGCTAACCACCAGTTAGTTAAAGCTCAGTAAAATTTGACAAAGCAGGTAAACAAAACTAAAGTAAACAGGAGAAAAAGGAAAACAAAAAGCACGAATGAAACCAGACGTTTGCGTACGAAACAGGACCGAAATGGACAAAGGAAATGCAGGCAAACCGAACGCGGATGAAAGCAGAGGTTTGCAGATGTTTACGGATAAAAGCAATTTTTTGCGGATAAATGCAGATGTTTGCGGATAAAATCAGATGTTTGCGATTAAAATCAGATGTTTGCGGATAAAATCAGATGTTTGCAGATAAAAGCAGATGTTTGAGGATAAAAGCAGATGTTTGCGTATAAAATCAGATGTTTGCGGATAAAACCAGACGTTTGCGGATGTTCGCCGGTGATTGCAGATGTTCGCGGGTGATTGCAGATGTTCGAGGATAAAAGCAGTTGTACGCGGTTGACTGCAGATGTTCACGGATGAAATCAGATGTTCTCGGATAAAAGCAGATGTTGGCGGATAAAATCAGATGTTCGCGGATGAAAGCAGATGTTCGCGGATGATTACAGATGTCCGCGGATAAAAGCAGATGTTTGCGGGTGAATGCGGGGGTGCACTAACCGGATGATATCAGGCGTTCGCAAATAAAAGCATGTTTGCGGGTGAAACCGTATGAAAGCAGACGTTCGCGGGTAAAAGCAGATGTTCGCGGGTGATTGCAGATGTTCGCGGATGAAAGCAGATGGTCGCGGATAAAAGCAGATGTTGGCGGATAAAAGCATATGTTGGCGGGTGAAATTGGACTAGGCAGACGTTTGCGGGTAAAAGCATGTGCTCGCGGATAAAACCAGACGTTTGCAGATAAAACCAGACAAAAATAAACCAAAAAAATGCAGGTAATCGCGGATAAAACCAGACGTAAGCAGACGTTTGCAGATGATTCCGGACAAATTCAGATATAAACGAAACACAGTGAAGACGGTTAAAAACAGATGATTGCGGGGGTGCACTAACCGGACATAAAACACAACCAACCGGGTATTCGCGGATATAGCGATGCGGACAAAAGCAGATGTTATAAGATGATATTTTTATCTGCTTTTATCCGGCTTCGACAAAGAATTTATACCCGCAATCGTCTGCTTTTATCCGGTTTTGACGAAGAATTTATATCCGCAATCATCCGTCATTTTCAGCAGGGTTTATCTGCGAACGCCTGATATCATCCGGTTAGTGCACCCCCGCATTCACCCGCAAATATCTGCTTTTATCCGCGAACATCTGATTTTATCCGCCAACATCTGCTTTAATCCGCGAACATCTGCAATCACCCGCGAACATCTGTTTTCATCCGCAAACGTCTGGTTTTATCCGCAAACATCTGCTTTCATACGGTTTCACCCGCAAACATGCTTTTATCTGCGAACTCCTAATTTCATCCGGTTAGTGCACCCCCGCAAACATCTGCTTTTATCCGCGAACATCTGCTTTCATCTGCGAACATCTGCTTTTATCCGCAAACATCTCATTTTATCTGCGAACATCGGCTTTTATCCCCAAACATCTGCTTTCATCCGCAAACATTTGCTTTTATCCGCAAACATCTCATTTTATCCGCGAACATCTGCTTTCATACGGTTTCACCCGCAAACATGCTTTTATCTGCAAACATCTGATTTTATCCGCAAACATCTTATTTTATCGGCAAACATCTGCTTTTATCCGCAAACATCTGATTTTATACGCAAAAATCTGGTTTTATCCGCAAACATCTTCTTTTATCCGCAAACATCTGATTTTATCCGCAAACATCTTATTTTATCCGCAAACATCTGCATTTATTCGCAAATATCTGCTTTTATCCGCGAACATCTGCTTTTAATTGCAAACCTCTGCTTTCATCCGCATTCGGTTTGCCTGCATTTCCTTTGTCCATTTCGGTCCTGTTTCGTACGCAAACGTCTGGTTTCATTCGAGCTTTTTGTTTTCCTTTTTCTCGTGTATACTTTAGTTTAGTTTACCTGCTTTGTCAAATTTTACTAAGCTTGAACTAACTGGTTGTTAGCCGTTCACGGCACACAACTCTAAAAGGAATTATTTGAATAAAAACAACCTGTAAAGGAAATAAGTTTATTGAACTTCAATATTATTTGGTAAAATACAAATAAGGTCTTTGTTAAAAGATATAAATAGACATTTTTTAATCATTAAGCTTACATTTAAATTAATTGTTAGAAAACATATGTTTAATTTCAAATACATTTGGAATTATAACATCTTCAATTTGTATGGAATTTGTTTGAAAAACAGTTATTTCGGCATAGAATTTTTCATGTAACTTTATAAACTTTTTAATTTTGGCATAACCAATATTTTTAGTATTAATAATTTCTCTGGTACTCTTCACCATAGTATACCTGATTTTTAAATTTAAATCTGGTGAATATAATTAAATTATTTTCCCATTGGGAAAATGTCGTGTTGAATAAACTTAGTTCCTTTACAGGTTGTTTTTATTCAAATAATTCCTTTTAGAGTTATAAAGTTAGTTAAAGCTCAGTAAAATTTGACAAAGCAGGTAAACTAAACTAAAGTATACACGAGAAAAAGGAGAACAAAAAGCGCGAATGAAACCAGACGTTTGCGTACGAAACAGGACCGAAATGGACAAAAGAAATGCAGGCAAACCGAACGCTGATGAAAGCAGAGGTTTGCAATTAAAGCAGATGTTTGCAGATGTTCGCGGATAAAAGCAGATATTTGCGAATAACTGCAGATGTTTGCGGATAAAATCAGATGTTTGCGATTAAAATCAGATGTTTGCGGATAAAA